CCCCCCCCCCCCCCCTCCCCCCAAATGGTGTAGTCTGGCAGGGGTGGGGTTGACCGTTTCGGGCGGCCAGCCGGGATCTTACGCAAGCCCGCAAGCCCCACGCAAGCCTAATGTAGGGCGTTTTCCGGTTCTTAGTCATCTTAACCTGTACTTAGTACTTTAAAACCTACACCCAACCCTAAACACCACCTAAATGCAGGCTCTAAGCCTAAAGCAGAACATAAACCGTCAACCCTAACCGGCCTACACCCCAAACCCTCCCTACATAAGCTCTTGTCGACTCGAAGCCTTATTATACCTTTTCCTAAACCCTAAACCCGAATCTCAAAAGCTTAAGTTAAACCCAAAACCCCAAAACCCCACAACCACCCCACAGGGTGAAGAGGGACCCCACACCGGGGGGCGGGGCATCCTGGACCATGGACCATGGACCATGGATGGGGGGGGGGGCGCGGAGCGCCTGACCCCATGTGTGTATATATATATATATGTGTATATATATATGTCTTTTATGTATTGTATATTACATAATCAGGAACCGTTGTCCATCAAAAAACGACTCGGGAAGGAGATCTACAACTGGCGCCAGCTGAGCCAGGCGGCCGCGGAGCAAGGCGGCAAGCCCTTTCTCTCTGCCGGCGCCTCTTCCATGGCGAGAACTGGGTCTGAGAGGCTGCAAGACTGGAGCTTAGGATGGTGAAGCTATCCTTCCGGCTTATGCCTTGCTCGGGGCATCCTTTCCCCTTGTTCCTTGATTGCAATTCTGGGAGGGTATCTTTTCCTACATTCCTGGCCGCCTTGCGACTTTGTGTCTCCGAGGTTTTGGAAGGCGAGTTTGCTATCGCCATCTTCGACTTTACAAAGGACCAGGCGATTTTCGCCAGCGATGCCTTCGGCACGCCGCCCCGGCTGTGTTGAGTCCCAGCTGCCTAGCCCAAACCCTAAATCCTGGCTTTGCCTGAGTCGGCTTGAGTGCCGTTGTGGCTTGATGTCTTCAGAATTCCAGGAAGCCCCTCTGGTATGCCTTGGTTCGACACAGGCAGAGGCCGGCGTGGCCTCAGGGATTTAAGCAAAAGATCATCTACCACTTTCTCAGATAAAAAACTGGCAACACGACGTTTAGAATGCGTAGCAGCCCTTTAACAGTATTAGTGCAGCCATTCATGGCTGTTTTCAATTCTGGTCCTGCTGCTTCTGTTGGTGCTGCTCCGCACCTTGTGGTAGTAGTCGCAGCAGGAGCAGCGATAGCGGCAGTGGAGACAGAGGCCGTAGCAGTGGCAGTGGCAGTGGCAGCGGCAGCAGTAGTAGCAGTGGTAGCAGTAGTAGCAGTGGTAGCAGCAGCAGCAACAATAGCAACAGGTGGCAGTGGCATTATTATTATGATTAGTAGTAGTAGTAGT